CCGGCGCGGGAACGCCCAGGCCCCGGCGGGCAGGAAGCCGAGGCCGCCCAGCGGGTGCGTGACCCTCTGCGCTGCTGTCCAGCAGGGTAGAGAAGCGGAAGGTGACCGACCCCGTGGGCGTCCTGAAGGAGAAGTACCTGCGGCCCTCGCCGCTGCTCTTCCACCCACAGGTAAGACCTGGGCAGGTGGCCGGGCGCCCTGGGACCCCGGCGGGCGGAGCCCTGGCTCTGTCCAGGCAAAACCACACCCGAGGCAGGCCCGTGCACGGTGGCCCCGGGCCTCAGGTGCCCCGTTGGGTGCCAGGGAGGGCTCTCCCCTAGGCCCCGCAAGGCGGGAAAAGTGGGGTCGGGGGGCGCATGGCCCCAGGAAGGAGGGGCTGCGAGGCAGCGGGTCCCCTGGCTGCCACGACGTGGGCAGCCCTCTCTGGGCCACGGCCTGCGTGCCCTCGGCGAGAGGTGGGGAGCCAGGCCCCGCGGCGGGAGAGGGCAGGGTCGCCGGACGGGCCGGACAGAAGCGGGACAGTGGGTGGACAGGAAGAGGTGGACAGGAAGAGGCGGCCACGCAGGGTGGCCGGCCCCCGGCAAGGCGGGTCCCGCTGGCTGCCTCCCGCCGGGTCCACCCGGGGGCCAGGGGCTGCGTGGTCTCCCCGACTCCCTCCGCCGCCCCCCGCCCCACAGCCGCCCCCCAAGTCCTGCTCCACCCCACACCGGGGCCCGGGCCTGAACCCAGACCCCAGACGGGAATTGTTCTCCCTGCGGCCGGCCTGGGACAACACCCCGGTTTGTGCAGCCTGCGCCGCCCGGCCTCACGGCTAAACTTAGCGCCGCCATTGTTCCGGGCCTCGGGCCGGCCGGCCGCTTCCCCTGGCTTTCTTGGGGCCGGGCTGGGAAGGCGTCGGCCAGCCAGGCACATCCTGCGTTTGTGCTCGAGCTCGATGGGGTGGGGACATCTGACCGGGCAGAGACGGCCAGGCTGCGGCCGGCCAGACCTGGTGGGCAGCCCCATTGTCCCTCCTGCCGCTCCCCGGGGCCCCGCTGCGGACAGGAAGCGCTGACCGCGAAGTCCGAGTCCAGCCACCCCGCGGCCAAACGTGCAGCCTCCGGCAGCCGGGGTCCTCGCTGTGCAGAGCCGGCCATTGCCAGGTCCCCCGCTGAGCCTGGGGGGGGACCGCGCCCAGCCCGCACCGCGGGGCGCCGGGGCCTCGGCTGGTGCAAGTCCCGGGGCCGTTTGGGGCGGCGGCGGGAAGGGCAGCCCCTTGCCCATGCCAGGCAAGGGCAGTGTCCATCTGTCCAGCCGCAGAAGGGGCGTGTGCCCATAGCAGGGAGCACCGGGCATTCCAAGGGGTCTGCCCCAGGGATGACGGGGCCCCACTGGCGGGGCCCGGCGGGGCAGCCTAGGGCCAGAGGCGTGGCCAGTGGGCAGGAGCCACTGTCCAGTCGAGGCCATCTGGTTGTCCCCAGAGAGCAGAATGTGCCCTCTACGGGAGGGGCAAGGCTCCCTGCGGCGCCTCTCAGTGAGAGCCGGGCCCACAGGGCACAAGGGATGAGGCCGGCGGCCGTGGGCAGAGGCTCCGGGGCAGCTGGGTGAGGCCTGGGGACAGGTGAGCAAGGCCTTCTGGGAGCGGCCAGCGCCGAAGGCAGCTGCCCCACGCTGCCCTTCCCCGGCCTTTAGACGCCAGCTGCCCGGCCCAGGGCCGGGGTCCCAGCGACTGCAGCACCCGGAGAGAAAGACTGCCCCTGCACGGGCGCCTGCAGCCCCGCACTCCCCTGCCGCCCTCGGCCCAAGGTGTGCAGAGGGCCCGGGACACTGGCCCGCCTTCCGGGGGGCTGGGGCCCCATGGGCAGCACAGGCTTTGCACCCCAAGTACACTGTCTCGTTAAGTGTGAGCCCCAGGAGCTCAGGGCACAAAGCCAGCGCCTCCCCCCCAGCCCACCCCAGTGCCCGCCCCACAGGGTCCGGCTCCACACGGGTGACAGAAGTGCCCCGACACCCCGCAGGTCCAGCCTACCCCCGCCCCCACCCAGGACCTCTGCAGGGAGGTCCGGGGTTCCGGTCAGAATTCTGCCCCCGGGCAGAGGGGTCTACGCCATGTCCGTGCCCTCTGAGGACAGCCAGGTCATCTCTAGGTAGCAGAGGGCCGCTCCGCTTGTCCATATTGGCTGGCCCTGTGCCAGGCCCTGTGCCAGGTGACACGGGCATCACAGGTCCTAGTGGATCTCCCGGGGTGGGGTCTGGGTGCCCGCTTTGGTCCTCTGCCGGCAGCTGTGGCCGCCACCACCAGGCGCTGCCGCATCGGCATGGCCCAGCGTTCAGCTCCGACTTAGGTCTCAACTTCTCGAAGCTTAAAAAACTAAAACGAGATCTCATCCTGCATTTGCGCCAACGTGCCGGCCGGGAGCGGCCCGGGC